CCGCCGAGTTTTTATGTTCATGACACTGTTTGTTCCCCTATTCGGGGGGGGGGCCCTCGCCGGGCCCCGGGACCGTGAAAGAACTGCTCGGGATGAGAAGCCGGCCCCAGGAACAGGGTCGGGATTTCCGAGGACAGCGTATCGAACAAATTGGGATATGGCACGTCTGGGTGCCAAGGGATCCTGAGATCCTAGCGCCCATTTTTTTTTCGCGCGGGGTGTTTTCGCGCGGTTCTAGGCCCTGGCACCATCACAGGTCGGTCGGCCTCGAACAATGCAACAGAAAGCTGGGGTCTGGGGCTCCAGTAGCGATGTCCTATCAATGTTGGTTCTTGGGTGGAGTCCTCGCTTCGTTGTGTGTTCCAGCAGCTGCGCCTCGCCCAGAGCGTTCGGGGGGGGCCGAATCGTCACGACGGGCTGCCGGAGACCCGAGTTGTTGAAGGTGCCCAAGGACACACAAATGAATACACACCAATAACAGGATCCCCCATATTTCCCCTATATTTTCTGGGTCTGGGTTGTTGTCTTCCCCCCCCACTTCCCATATTTTCCGATATTTCCTAGGGCATCGACGATGAATTGTGTCTGTGTGTTTTTTCCCCTCCTGAGCTGTGGCCCGAAAGCCCAGTGACCCCCGCCAGGGCCCCTTTGCGCTGCGATCGATCCGGTGCGACATCGGATCCGGCGGCCCCGATCGGCTCCGCGCCCGCTTTCCCGAGGCGTTGCGAGGCGGTCCGAGGCGGCCCGGCGATGCTGTGCATCCTGGTAGTGCGGCCGACCCGATTGGTATTGAATCGGGCCTGTCCCTCTACAGGGGGAATCTTCAGAGATAGTCAAACAACAGCCTGGGACGATTTTTGGTCCGTGCTTTTGATCACTGGGGGGGGGGGTATTTTGGGGGGTATTTTTCATTCTGCGCCCCAGATCCCCCTGTGGGGGGACACGGCCGGCTTAAGACTGGTACGATTCCGACTCCGTGCCGATACGCCCCGATCCGACGCACGCTCCGATCCGAGCCGATTTCCCGATTCTGGCCCGCTCTCCCTCCTCGCCTTCGATTTCCTCCCTCCTGCTCCTGGGCCGCTTCGAGTGGTGCGATTCGATCCGATTTCCCGACTCTGGCCCGCTCGCTGCTTCGCTGCCCGCTCTCCCTCCTCGCCTTCGAGTTCCTCCCTCCTGCTCCTGGGCCTCGTCCTCCGCTGCGGGTGCTTCGAGTGGTGGAGCCTCCCTTCCCTCGGCGGGGAAGGGGGCATCCGCCATCGCTCGAAGAAGACGAAACGCCACAATAAACATGAACTTCCGGCGCTCCGCACGGATTTCTTGGATCTGCGTTTGCCCCCCCCCCCCCCCGCGGCGCCTCCGGCGCCGCCCCCGGCGCGCTCCGCGCGCCAGGGAGGGGGTCCAGCGCAGATCCAAGATACCCGCGCGGAGCGCCACAAGTTTATGCTGATGGCGTCTTTTCTTCTTCTACTTCTCAGCGCATTGGCTCATGGAATCAATCGGTCCAATTTCTCGGTTCGATGAACCACTGCGGCGCGTGTCGATCACTCGGCAACTGAGCAACGCGCGTCGGTAATCGACAGCCGACCGCCCATGCAGGCGAATTGCGCGATTTCTCGATTCGATCGATTAGGCCATGGACATCGGAGGTTCGATGATACAGCCGGGGCCCTGCAGAAGGAACCCCTTTCGTGGGAGAGGGGCCCGGCGTTCCTTGATCGTCCTGCAGCTTGCCTTCGGTTTGCCCGAGGTTTTCCATGGGACATCGAAGTTCAACTCATGAGAAAAAGGCGCCTCGTTCCTTATTTGGGGTTCCTTAGGTCAACGCCTCGACTGTACGTCGGATCTCTGGGACCGCCGCCGTTGGATCTCTGGGGAGGAGGAGGAGGAGGAGGAGGAGGAGGAGGAGGAGGAGGAGAAGAGGATGAGGAGGAGGAAGAGGAGGAGGAGGAGGAGGAGGAGGAGTGTCAGCGCCCCGGCTGTAGCCGATCCTGCAGGCGCGTCCGGACTCTCCGCGACCGGGTCCGCGGCGAAGCCGTGGGCTGCGTGGCCGCGCCGCCGCCGGTGTCCGGGGCGTGCGGGGGTGACCACGTGTGCTGCGGGAGGATGGATGGAGTTGAGGGGGGGGGAGGAGGAGGAGGGGAGGGGGAAGAGGAGGAGGAGGAGGAGGTAGAGGAGGAGGAGGAGGAGGAGGAGAAGGAGGGAGAGGGGGAGGAGGGGGGAGAGGAGGAGGAGGAAGGAAGGAGGAGGAGGAGGGGAGGAGGAGGGAGGAGGAAGGAGGAGGAGGAGGAGGGAGGAGGATGAGGATGAGGAGGGGGAGGAGGAGGAGGGGAGGAGGAGGAAGGAGGAGGAGAGGAGGAGGAGGAGAGGGAGGGAGGAGAGGAGGAGGAGGAGGGAGGCGGGGGAGGAGGAAGGGGAGGCGGGGGAGGAGGAGGGGGGGAGGGGAGGAGGGAGGAGGGGAGGAGGAGGAGGGGCGGAGGAGGAGGGGGAGGAGGAGGGGGGAGGGAGGAGGAGGAGGAGGAGAGGAGGAGGAGGAGGAGGAGGAGAGGAGAAGGAGAAACCGCTCTTTCTACCCCATTCCAATTCCTCCTCCTCCTCCTCCTCCTCCTTGTCCTGCTCCTCCTCCTTCTTGCCCTGTTTTTGGCATCCTTGTC